CCCCCAAATCTGTTAACAAGTGTCTTTTGTCCTCAAAACCTCAGTGACGTATGCCAAACTGTCCTCATTAACGCTCATGTCATTCGAGTTGTCCTGCACACTCGTATCTGCCTCGTTTCGCTTGCTCAGCTATTTTGTGGTTAATGATGTAGCATGCAGCTGTCCACAATTTACTGAACTTTGTCATTTCAAAAGCCTTTGTCATGTAATACAAAGGTCACACCGCACTCCATTTGACTGATTATTTGTACGTTTTATTGAGTAAAATAACAGAATTCCATTAAGAGTATCTTGTAATATATTCTTCCAAGTTACATTGATTGGAATGATTATAGCTGTGGTATCTTTCACTTACACAGCTCACATTTACATTTTCATGGAAAAACAACATTTTCCATAAAATCATGCATCTTCTGTTTAGAGACTTCCACGGGAAAGACTGTTCCAATTCCACACTAGAGAATGATCACAAGAGACTACAGTCCACATGATAAAGCAGAGATAAGCGCATCACAGATATCACTGTCAGTTTATATATTGTCCAATAAGTACAGAGAAATGAAATGCCAGACATGTTTGAGGTAATGTAGAAACAGTGTCACTATTACACACTTTGTCCACCAGAGAGCACTGACAAGTTGATTCTTTACAATTTTGGACCTGGGAAAAATAGTAACTTTATAGTGCTAGCACTGATGATAGCATATTGTGTAAAAGTGCACAAAGAGCTGAAGAGCTGATCTCCAGTGGTGGAAGAAGTAGATCCTTTACTTGGTAAAAGTCCGTAGTCTAAAAATACTCCATTACAAGTAAAAGTTCTGAACTGAAAATGTTAACGAAAATGTAACGTAACGTTATTGTCTCTAAGTGACTAATGGGGACTACAACGTATTGAAATTGGACCAGTATTAAGGGACAACGCTGTCCGTTTGTTATTGTGTCCAACCAAGTCTCGCTCAAGGAGAAGTCTCGTTCTGAATCTCGCATCGCTCCACAATATGGAAATTGTCCCTATGGAAAAGTCACTTTTACACAATCATGGGATAATAGGGGCCAGGTACATTTTTTAAAATAAATTCACCCTCTAAAGGCACAATGAGTGGGTTTTCCCTAAAAGAACTATGTATAGACCTATGACCCACCTCTATAATATATCATATATATCATTATTATATATTATATAGCAAGGCCAAACGCCAAGTGGACAAAGCTTTTTCCAAAACCAGAATGAATCTGGGGTTGGCTTTCACCCGCTGGGGGGAGGGGCAAACTTTGAATGTTGTGTTTACAAACTGTTTCTTACTCATTGTGCCTTTAAGTAAAAGTATGAGCTAAATACACTTAAAGTATCCAAAGTGAACATACTCATTGTGCAGAATGGCTCCTTTTAAAGTGTAATATTACCATAGAATATTATGTTATTCTCTTTTAATCACTATCAAATACATGTACAAGTATTTAATGTTGTAGTTTGTGCAGCCAATTTGAGATACTTTGTACTAACTAGGTAGATTAGTAGTATAATACTGCATCATATCATATAAGCAAATATGTTTGTTTTTTAAGTACAAAGTTACTGTGAGTGGAGTAAAAAGTGCAGTATTTGCCTATGAAATGTAGTGGAGTATAAATTTAAAGTAACAAAAAATGGAAATACTCAAGTAAAGTACAAGTATGTCAAACAGTACTGGAGTAAATGTACTTGCATTCCACCACTGAAACAACCCCTGGCTGTTCAACAGACATTACAAAGTTTAAATCACTGTTAGTTCACGCCATAGATATTCCACAAAATACCAAAAATAACTATAAAAATAAAATCATTCCTGTTTACTTAAGTATACCCTCTAGCTTGATCTGCTCCAAATGCTTTTTCATTAATTTCATTATAATGAGGCCACGGATAAATCAATAGGAAGCAGTAAAAGTTAGAGGATCCCCTAAAGACAACAGCTGACCTATCATCAATATAAAAATACCACTTTTATAACTTTGTTTAAAGTTGTTAGAATTATATTTCCTGAATCACAGCAGCGTGTATAATACTGAAAACATCTCATGTCACTTAGTTAAACTCCCGCTAAACTGACACTATATTTGCCTGAGTCAGACCGTCTCCTCTGTTTTTACACTAACATAGAACCAGTATGAGATACATCTAGTAGCCTACACAGAATAAATGGTACAATTAAAACGTGGCGAAACTCAGGAGGCTGTCTTCACGAGTTCTTCCTCTTGGGTTCTGGAGGGCTGAGGCGTCCTGTATGTTCCACTCAGACAGGTAACCCTGCTAACAGAAGGGGTCGCCTTCATCCTTCATCCCTGTTAGCCCCAAGCGAGCAAAGTCTTCAAACACTAAGTCATCAAGCTGAGGCGAAGTGCTGAAAAGAGAAAGAATGTCCGACAATTACTATACGAGGCACATTCAACCAGTAAGGATTCACATGTATGCAGATGATAGCTATTTATCATTCTAGATAGTTTGAGTGTGAGTTGCCAAGTGTTGGAGATAGTAGCCGTAGAGATGTGTGCCTTTTCTCCAATATAACAGAACTAGTTGGTACTTTGCTTGTGGGGCTCAAAGGGCCAAAAAAAGACAAAAAAAAATGTATTTTTAAACTCAACAGCAACATCCCATTACACTAATGATGACCCGGCTACTTATGATTGAACTCACACCAAAACAATCTAGAGAACAATAGCTCTACAGTTAAGAGGAAAAATATGCATTTGGGATTTTGGAGTGAATTGTCCCTTTAAGGCTGAGAGAATTCTTCAAACACACACACACACACACACAAAAAAACACAAAAACACACACACACACACACACACTTACTTCATCTCAAACTCTATGAGATTTGTATCCACAGTAGCATCAGCCTCTGGAGCGACTAGAAACAAGAACACATTAAGTGATTAAATGCTCACACAGCTGCACTAATAGCTGTGTATGAGGTGTGTGTGTGTGTGTGTGTGGGGTGTGTTTATGTGTGTGTGTTTGTGTCCTACCTGACTGTGGTTGGGAGCTGGACTGGTCTGAAGGTTTGGGATGCATCAGGACAAAAGGGAGTTCCACCGCTACATCCCTACACACACATAACAAAAACAGCCTTGTTACCAACGACAATATTAAAACATTTCCATGTCTGAAAGCTGTTTGTTCTCTTGATTAAAAGTTAAAGAATAGAATATTAAACATCACTTTACGGCTGTAGCATTACAGTCCTGTAACACTGCAAAAAGACATTCAAATTGATGCAGCAGAACCAGAGATGTCATCTTGTTTATTCCACACAATCGTCATAACGTGGCGCCTACATTACCCACAAAGCTCGAGTGGGTCCACCTACCCTCCACGGGACACCACCAGTTTGACTTTGACTCTGTAGGACACCAGGATCCCCATCATCTCCTTGTTGGTCCCTTCTTTCACTCTGCAGGACACATGAGAGAAACAATGGATGCACATGTTCGTCAGTAAACATATCCATGTGCTTCTTTGTGTAGAAAAGTAGACCCTTCTCTAACAGATACAGGTATGTGTGTATGTGTGCGTGCGTGCGTGCGTGTGTGTACATGGAGCTGGAGGCCAGGTTGGTGTCTTCATGCTTCAGCTTTCCATCCAGGGCCAGGCCTCTCTTTTCCCTGTTGGTACCCAGCATGGGGGTCAGAGTGTAGACCTGGCAGAAGGTGGAGCTCGGAGAGACCTGGTCACTGAGGTTGGGGGAGGGTTAAAGGTCAGGGAGAGAGGAGCAAAATGGGAATGTAAAAGAGTGATCCATTAAATCGGTCTGTTGCTAGATACTGAATGCTTGCAATTAAAAACAAAATGAGCCTGAAAGTTTATTACTGCAATAGACTGCACTAAGCACACGTAGATTAGATACCTCGTGAGGCTGGTGAGATATGTTGGTGGTATTTAATTCAATGTTCAGTTGCGAACAATGTAGTGTCATCTGCATACTAATGCAATCAACACTTATTTAGGTGCTTAATATAGATTGTAAAGAGAACTAGAAAATTCCTAAAGAAATTTTGACAGTGTGGCTTCTACTGCCCGAAGAAATCGCAATATATATACACACGCCAATGTTACCGGTAGTGTCATTGAGGTTCAATTGAGATAGCGCTACTCTCTTTTCTGCATTTTAGATTCATACTCTTGGATTGAATCTTGTATTTGTGGGGCTTTTATTTTGAAAGGGTGGGACTAGGTGGGTGAGAGAGGGGGAGAGGAGACAGAAAATCATAATGTTTGACACTAAAATGAGAGGCTTCATCACAAGCATTCCAGTTAGAATTCATTCTATGGGGCTTTTAATTTGAAATGGGGGGGTGGGGTGGTGAGAGGGTAAAAGTCCTCTAAAAATATCTAAGCCCTGAATGACTGTATGATAGAGAGAGACACAGAGAGGGAGAGAGAGACAGATAGAAAGATAGACAGAGAGGAGAGAGAGACAGGCAGACAGACAGTTAGATGGACTGAGTGAGTGGGGGAGAGAGACAGGCAGACACAGTTTTTTTATGTTTGTAGTCTTAAAAATGTGAGCTCAAGCGCAATATGCAAAACTGGTACCGTCTGCTTTCTTTGAGAAATGAGTGGTCATACTTAACATGGAGTCTAATGGAGCAGTTGGTTGGAGTTCATGTCGCTCTGTGGCTCTTTGAGCCAAATGTGTAAGTCCGTTGGATTCCATAGATACTTTACTGCGACCAGCACAACATTTCCAAGCTTTTTGGTCAAAATGGTGTATAAAGAGTAAAAATTGTGGGAGCTGGAGCAATTTGTTTGTAAAAATCACAGAAGATTTTCCTGCTCTGCTCCACTCTGACAGTTATGCTCTCACTCTAGCTCTCAACGAGCCGTGCAATACACACCCATTATAAAATCTGAAACAGATCCAAAATATTCCTGAAACTTAATCTGTGACTTCATGAAAACTGTGCTAGCTATCAAAATGTCCCGTTGGCTCAATAAAGTGCAGCGTTTTGTCTACGTTTTAAACTTTGAATCATGTTTCTACGTTAAAGTATGGCTAGTCAATATGGGCCCAAAGTTAAGTGTTTTTTTGCTCTCTTCACGCCGGAACCCCATTCAAGTGAAAGGGGACATTTTGCTCAGTTTTTGGCGATTTTCGGGAATTTTCGGTAAAACCGCTTGGCAAATCACTCCCTAAATTCCCTAAAATCCCCAAAAACTGAGCACAGTTTCTCCATTCACTCGAATGGGGTTGCGGCGTGAAGGGAGCTAAAAAAACACTTAACTTTGGGCCCATATTGACTAGCCGTACATTAACATAGAAACATGATTCAAAGTTTAAAACGTAGACAGAACGCTGCACTTTATTGAGCCAAATGGACATTTCGATAGCTAGCACAGTTTTCATGAAGTCGCAGATTAAGTTTCAGGAAAATTTTGGGTCTGTTTCAGATTTTGTAATGGGTGTGTATTGCGCGGCTCGTTAAGAGCTAGAGTGAGAGCATAACTGTCAGAGTGGAGCGGAGCAGGAAAATCTTCTGTGATTTTTCCAAACAAATTGCTCTAGCTCCCACAATTTTTACTCTATATACACCATTTTTGGCCAAAAAGCTTGGAAATGTTGTGCTGTCGCACACAGATGTCTGTGGAATCCAACGGACTTACACATTTGGCTCAAAGAGCCACAGAATGACATGAACTCCAACCAACTGCTCCATTAGACTCCATGTTAAATCTGACCACTCATTTCTCAAAGAAAGCAGACGGTACCAGTTTTGCATATTGCGCTTGAGCTCACATTTTTAAGACCACAAACATAAAAAACACATCTCCGCGTTTGCCAGAGTCTTATCTCTCTGACGGTATCCATATTTTATTGATTAGTCTCATGGTTTTGGTATAGAGGGCATATGTTTGACAGGTAGTTTTGTTGGAAATCACTGGTTACTCTCTCTTAATTAGCCTCTAACACACAGGTGCTCCAATCACCAACATGCACCCAAGCACACAGGTGTTTATATGAGCTCATTAGTGATGTTGATAAACACACAGAGACCCTACGATAAGCAGCCCACGGACTTCAGCCACCTTGCCCGGACCAGGGAAACCGGGGCACCCTCCCAGGAGGGGAGCTCGTCGGCGAGCGTCTGGTGGCCGGTCCTTCGCCCATGGGGCCCGGTCGGGCTCAGCCCGAATAAACAGCATGGAGCAGCCACCCTGTGGACCCACCACCCGCAGGGACAAGCATCGGGGTCGGGTGCAATGCAGACCGGGCGGCGGGTCAGGCGGGAGGCCTGGGCAAGCCGATCGCCGGCAGCATAGACTAGCTCTAGGGACGTGGAACGTCACCTCGCTAGCGGGGAAAGAGCCAGAGCTGGTGCAGGAGGTGGAGCGATACCAGCTAGATATAGTTGGACTCACCTCCACACACAGCGCTGGCTCTGGAACCAAGCTCCTGGAGAGAGGTTGGACTTTGTCCTTTTCCGGAGTAGCCCAGGGTGAGAGGCGCCGGGCGGGAGTGGGGATACTCACGAGCCCCCGGCTGAGCGCCGCTGTGTTGGAGTTCTCCCCGAAGAACGAGAGGGTCGCCTCCATGCGCCTACGGGTTGCGGGGAGCAAGGCTCTGCCTGTGGTTTGTGCTTATGCACCAAACAGCAGTTCAGAGTATCCGGCCTTCTTGGAGTCGGTGGGAGGGGTCCTGGAAAGGGCGCCACCTACCAACTCCATAGTTCTCCTGGGGGACTTCAATGCTCACGTGGGCAATGATGGAGAAACCTGGCGGGGGGTGATTGGGAGGAACGGCTTGCCCAATCTGAACCCGAATGGCGTCTCGTTATTGGACTTCTGTGCTTGCCACGGTTTGGCCATAACGAACACCATGTTTGAACATAAGGTGGCTGATAAGTGTACCTGGTACCAGAACACCTTAGGCCGGAGATCAATGATCGACTTTGTAATCGTATCATTTGATTTGCGGCCGTATGTCTTGGACACTCAGGTGAAGAGAGGAGCAGAGCTGTCAACTGATCACCACCTGGTGGTGAGTTGGATCAGATGGCAGGGGAACCAGTTGGAAAGACCCGGCAAGCCCAAACGTGTAGTGAGGGTGAACTGGGAACGTCTGGCGGAGGACCCTGTCCGGGAGGTCTTTAACTCCCACCTCCGGAAGAACTTCTCTCACATCCCGAGGGAGGTTGGGGACATGGAATCCGAATGGACCATGTTCAAAGCCTCTATTGTGGACGCGGCCGCTAGGAGCTGTGGCCGGAAGGTCATCGGTGCCTGTCGTGGCGGCAACTCGAGAACCCGGTGGTGGACACCGGAGGTGAGGGAAGCTGTCAAGCTGAAGAAGAAGACCTTCAAGGCCTGGTTGGCCCAGGGGTCTCCCGAAGCAGCTGACAGGTACCGGCAGGCCAGAAGGGCTGCAGCTGCGGTGGTCGCGAATGCTAAAACTCGGGCATGGGAGGAGTTCGGGGAGGCCATGGAGAAGGACTTTCGGTTGGCCTCAAGGAGGTTCTGGCAAACCATCCGACGGCTCAGGAAGGGAAAGCAGGGCTTACCCCAGGCTGTTCTCAGCAGGGGGGGGAACTGCTGACCCGGACAGGGGACATCGTCGGGCGGTGGAAAGAGCACTTTGAGGAACTCCTAAACCCGACCAACATGTCCTCTGCAGAGGAGGCAGCGCCTGAAGATCTAGGGGGAGGCTCACCCATATCCCTGGCAGAGGCCGCTGAGGTAGTCAAAAAGCTCCTTGGTGGCAAGGCGCCGGGGGTGGATGAGATCCGCCCTGAGATGCTGAAAGCGCTGGACATAGTTGGGCTGTCCTGGCTGACACGCCTCTTCAATGTCGCATGGGGGTCGGGATCAGTGCCCATAGACTGGCAGACCGGGGTGGTGGTTCCCATTTTCAAAAAGGGGGACCGGAGAGTGTGCTCGAATTACCGGGGTATCACACTACTCAGCCTCCCGGGGAAGGCTTATGCCAGGGTGCTGGAAAGGAGGCTCCGACCGTTTGTCGAACCTCAGATACAAGAGGAGCAATGCGGATTCCGTCCCGGCCGTGGAACAGTGGACCAGCTCTTTACCCTCGCAAGACTACTGGAGGGGTTCTGGGAGTTTGCCCAACCAGTCTACATGTGCTTTGTGGACTTGGAGAAGGCTTTCGACCGGGTCCCTCGGGGGTTCTTGTGGGGGGTGCTGCGGGAGTATGGGGTGCCGGACCCATTACAACGGGCGATCCGGTCTCTGTACGACTGCAGTAGGAGCTGTGTCCGCATTCTCGGCAATAAGTCAGACACGTTCCCGGTGTGTGTTGGCCTCCGCCAGGGCTGCCCTTTGTCTCCGGTCCTGTTCGTGACTTTCATGGGCAGGATATCTAGGCGCAGCCTGGGGGTGGAGAACGTCAGGTTCGGGGGTCTCGGGATCGCCTCTCTGCTGTTTGCCTCCTCGGATCGTGACCTCCAGCATTCACTGGGGCGGTTTGCAGCCGAGTGTGAAGCGGCGGGGATGAGAGTTAGCACCTCCAAATCTGAGGCCATGGTGCTCTGCCGGAA